CGACTACAAACTCCCGCAAATTTGCAGTACTACAGCAGCCTGAATCAAAAGGCATCAACAAGCAATAAGTAACATGCAATACTTAAGTGTAAGGAATATAGAAACATATAGAGAAATAAACATGAATGTACTTACTGTAAATTACCAAATAATAGCCGGGGCATTTCTTTGTTTCAATCACTTAACAAACCAGATGTTTATTTGGGTCCAGGCGGCAGTTTGGGACAGGCGTTTCATTTCTTCCTCACAAAATCCTTCTGTGCAATAGTTGTACGTCTTCTGCAAGTGAAGTTGTTGCGGCGAGGAAAGGATTTAGCCAACTAGCACACGCGGCAAACTCCTCATCTCTGCTGTCACTCACAATGGCATACATTTGTTTCGCCATTGCCCTGATCATTTTGTGGGACACTCTCTCGTGGCGTGCCCGTTTGCTGATAACCCATTCTGGCATGTTTATCTCAAGCTCCTCGCTAGCCTTCTTCCTACTTCCACCAGGCGGGGTCGACTGAGAAACGTCTAGCGGCTGCTTCTCTCGAGATTTCCTCTGCATATTTTACGACAGAAAGTTTGAATTTCAAGTCGTACTTTTAATTTTTTTGCTGCACAATATGTGAAAAAGGCAGAAAAGAAAAACATGCAGTGTCAGTTGTCACGTCTTCTTGTTTGATTTTTTAAGAATAAATTAGACCCAGCATTTATTTGCAACCGGCGGTTATTTATCAAAATATACACCTGCACCCTGCGTTTAAAGGGGACCCTGCGGTTAATTGAAATCCGGCTATTATTTGGTAATTTACAGTAAACTAGTAATAAAAGTGTAAAGGCAGTAAGAAAGTCAAGTCAAGTCAACTTTATTATCAATAATGCCATATGTGCAGGACATTCAGAGAATTGAAATAGCGTTTCCCTCTTTCCCTCTTCCCTCTTAAGCATCCCTGAAGTAAACACCGCGGGTCTTACCTTCCGTCAATGAGTGCCCTGTCTGCACGGTAGCCAGTATGCTGTTGTTGAGCCATGTTTCCGTGAATAGAAAAACACAGCACTCTCTCACACTCTGCTGGGTCGCTCTCAGAAGGTGTATGTAGTCCAGTTTGTTGTCCAAGGAGCGTACATTGGCGAGTACGATAGACGGTATAGCCGGCTTGTGTGGATTAACCGCTAGCCTGGCCCAGATACCCCCGCGCTTCCCTCGCTTCTGCTTCCTCTCGCACCGCCTGCGGAGCTTCCTCTGCCAGTGTGCTGCAGTAGTGGGGGTCGGTGTCGAAGCGGGCTGCCGGAGTAAGCCAAGGTCGTGTAGCTCCTTAGTGTGTGCCGGGTTTAACTTGTGGAAAAAATCGTGCCGATGTCAAAAAGAGTCCCATGGCTGAATGTGCGCCTAGGTGCTCCTTCTTCCATCATGACCAGAAGTTGTTGGATAGGAGTTGAACCCAACGCCATCTCTTGCGGAGGTAAAGATCTTCCTTGACGAACTTCCCAGGAGGACGGGATATGATTGTAGACTTCATAGTCAGGATGTGGTTTGGTGTCAAGGGCTCTGGACTGGATGCATCATTCAGATTATCAGTGGTCAGAGGTCTACTATTTACGACTGCCATGACTTCATGTAGGAACTTTCGTAGAGAGAAGCAGTCAAGTTGTTTAGCTTACTGAATAGACGCCTAGACACTTCTGATGGTGCGAATTTGTCTTTCCCAGACGCCGACCATGTGACTTGAAGCTGGGGTGTTCATGATAAACTCACGCCTTGCACCGACGAAGTTCGACCCTTGATCACATCTTATCTGCCGCACCATTCCACGGATGGTGATGAAGGAGGGCAGAGCGTTGATAAAACCATCCGTGGTCAAGTCATCGAGCATTTCAATGTGTACTGCTCTGGAACACATGCAGGTAAGTAATAGTCCAAAACGCTTTAGCTCTTTCTTTCCTTCTTTGATGTAAAATGGTCCAAAGCAGTCCATCCTGCAGTAAGTGAACAGAGGGGTTGTTTCCATTCGTTCTTCCGGGAGGTCTACCATCCTTTGTTGTTCTGTACCCCTTTTGAACTTCCTGCACTTAGTGCACTTGTAAATATGGGATGATACGACATTGCTGCATCCAAGAATCCATATGCCATTGGAGTGGAGCTCATTCATGGTCATGCCTTGGCCTTGATGGTGGACCCTTTCATGATAGTGCCTGACCAGTAATGCCAACACGTGACTGTCTCTTGGGAGGACCACTGGATGCTTCACATGTGGATGTAAGGCACACTGAAAAAAATTAAACATAGGCTCAACTTAAAAAAATTTAAGTAATCTTTCACACCTTATATTATTGCGTTGATACAATGTAAATAATTCATTTAGTTTGACCTGAAATATTTAACTTCATGCAAACCAATTTATGAAGGTAAAGCAAAGCAATTATTTTAAGTTTTCCTAAATTAAAATAAATAATTACTTAATGTAAATAATCAAATTCATTAAATCTGAATTTTATTTTAACTTCATGTAAACAACTTTTGGATGTGGGTACATTTTGTTCTCGCTGAACAGAACCAAACTAAATACTCAGTGACTAAAATAAATTACAAATAGTAACGAGAAACCATCCTAAAACAAAATCAGAAAATTGTCCTATTTCCGAATGGAAAGTAATACAGGGCTCGCTGCAGCAGGTAGATAATTGCATCATCCACTCCCAGATGAGGCTGGTATGTGAACTGTAGAGGATGATTTCACCTGTGGTCTGAGGTGGGCCAGGCCAGTCTCTCCAGTACCTTCATCACATGAGATCAACTGGGCGACTGGTTGGTAGTCATTGAGGCCAGATGGAGTTGTCTTCCAGGCTACCTCCTGGCTGTTTGCTTATTGCCTTGAACCCAGTTATTTCCCTTATTCCAGTCCACACATCCCTCACTTTGTTCTGATGAAGTTTGGCCTCCAGCTTCCTCCTGTAGGAGTCTTTGCACTCCCTTTCGATTCAGGTCATGTTGTATGACCCCCAGTTCTTGAGTGTATTATCCTTCTCATTGTTTTTATTTTAATTAGTTCCATAGTGAAAAAGAACACTTTGAGGACAGGGTGGGAAAAAAATTAAGATAAGAAGTGTACCAGACACTGCACGAGGATAGAGTAGAGGCAGCATGTATTCTCCATGTCTGTTTTCAAAATGTTGTTTTGAATCGATGATCTTTTTTTTGTTTCTTTTTATTACTTTGCATGGATGCAGGGGGTATACTATGGTACAAGTTCAATAATAAAGTGTCCTTTCATGTAATATTGGTTTATGTCATTTGTAAATCCACCAATAAACATGCATAGCAATAAACAACCGTTGAGTAAAAAACATTTTTTGCATTTCCTAATGTACACTTAAATCAATAAACTAAATGGGGAGGCAGTAGCTCAGTCCCTAGCGACTTGGCTTGGGAACCAGTGAGTGGACGGTTCAAGTCCAGCATGGACAGAAGTTGGAGAGGTGCCAGTTCACCTCCTGGGCACCGAACCCCCCAATTGCTCCCTTCATGGCTGCCCACTGTTCTGTGTGTGGTCACTGTGTAGATTGTGTTCCGTTCACACGGATGGGTTAAAAACAGAGGTCAAATTTCTCCATGTTAGCATGTTGCATGCTGTGTGTGGGACCATAAAAAGGAAATCTTAAATTAATACAAGCTTATACCCTCAGGCATGAGGTATAGAAGTGTTAAATGTTAAATGACCACCAGACTCAAAAACTCTTTCTTCCCCACTGCCATTAGACTCCTAAACAGCTGACAGGAGTCTACAACCTACCTCACAAACTGCAAGACTGGTCTGCACTTTAACATAAAGTATTCCATTTGTACTGTTTAAATTTATATTATATACATTTTATTTAATTTTTCACTGTTACTGTTCAATTTGCACTGCTCGGTTTTGCACAATCCTCACCTTATTCACCTCATTCGCCTTGTTTCTGCCTTACTTTTAACATGTTTATATCCTTATTGTATGTAAATATTGTATTCTAATGTAAATTTTGGTTGGCTGGTATTCCAGAAAGGACAGCACAAGAATTTCAATTCACAGGGAAACGTGTGTTCTCTTGTGTATTCAGTGGCGCCACCAGGGGGTGGCCATGGCCCCCCCTACAGATTTGCTGGCCACCCCACTCGCCACCCCACTCGCCACCCCACTCGCCAGTCACATGGATTCTTTACCTGTGAGCACTGCATCCTGTGAGTGCAGTTTTTCTATGCTAAAGTTAATCAAAACTGCCATGAGAAGTACCATGACTGATGAGCGTTTAAGTAATTTGGGTGTGCTAAGTGTAGAAACAAGAAGGGCTAGGGCCATAAATCTTGATGACTTTGTGGATGTGTTTGCCAAAAGACACAGCAACAGGCGAATAAAACTGTTCTGAAACATGCTGTATAGCCATCAGAATCAGAGACTATTGATCCCTGGTGGGAAGTTCTTGTTGAGTGTTTCCGTACTTGCTTGTGGCTTGCTTGCTTGTTTGTATCTGCCACTACCTTCAATTGTTTTGATTACAATAAATGTACACCTTTAAATTAAGCTGTACGTGTCTTTTTAAGGATTAGGTATTTCTGATTTTTGCTTGTAGCCTGTATACTACCACAGTATAATAAAATCCTGAAATGATGGCTTTTAGTTTTGGTGTTCCACCCCAAGAGTTTAAGTGGCCCCATCTGGCCACCGCTATGAACATTTTTTGGAGGCGCCCCTGTGTGTATTTGACAATAAAAATCTTTGAATCTTGAATGTGTCCTGCAACGTCATGCCACTAAGAGAAGGAAACTGAACATCTGTTGTTATAATATATATGTATTTATCTATTGATATAATGTTGACAGCCTTCGAAGAGTTCGGTCCTCTGCATATGTCCCACTGGTGACGCATGCGCAGTTCTAAACCAGGGGCTGTGGGATTCGCGCATGCGTACGTCTGGAACGGAGGGGGCTCTCTGGCTGTGCGGGCCGGTGTTCGGCCTGGCAGCGGATGCACACAAAGGGAACAGGGTGTACTGTCTCTTTAAAGCCGTCACGACCGCAGCTCACCCCGTGGTAGGCTCCCGCTGCTTGTTATCTTCTGTCAACAAGATGGCGGTCGTTCCTGAGAGCAGAGTTCTAACTTTTAGCGTGTTTAAATGGAGCTCTTACTCCTCAACATATTTACCCGAGTGAGTAACGTACACTGGAGCTGCCCCACCTTATGCGTCAGGGTTTGTCAGCGTATCTGCCATTTTCAACAGCGTACCAGTGTTTTGTGTAGCCGGTCCAAGGGCCTAGCTCGTCTGACACCAGCAAGCTAGCTGTAGCTTCGTCAGTAGCGTCAGAGGCATTTGGTTTTGTTACTTAGCTACCCAACAGTCCAGTTAGTCGAGGTTCACTATAGTGTTTTTGGTGTCTATCTACAGTGTCAATTGAATGATTGGGGAGTTATTCTTTTTCACTGTACGCGGCATCAGTGCAATGTAATGTGTAATGTAATTTTATATTTTCATATCACGTGAAATGCCTGTATTAGATGATTAGAAGTCACTACTTAATACAGTACAACCCATGCTGCTTCAGACAGTCGATATGTCCAAACGGCGTGGTATTTACAAATTTGGCTCAGTATCCTATTATGTTCATATCAAACGTCCACGTTATCTGGCCTGTACAGCCTCATCAGGTTGGCTGACCAAAAAGCTCTACCCGTAACTGCTGTTATTATGCGTTTACAAATAAAATCAACCATAGCTTTAGATATTTGGCTGTTGCTGGCTCAGCACAAACATACAGATTCCTAGTAATCATAAGCTTAAAACCCATTGCACTTGACAGAAAAATATAGCAGGTTAAATAAGCCATGCCGTGTCCAAAGATAAGTACATTAGACACATTTAATTTGGTTACAATTATTTGTTTTACAGTAAATATCTGTTATTTTTCAATACTTGGGAAAGCATACTGTTTAGATAATTATGGAGCTGGCAGAGGGAGGATGTTGCGTATTAATTCCGTTGCAGAGATCACATGTTTTTGCTTAGAGCACATGGACACAGGTGTTGGCTCTTATCACCACAAACTATCCTGCACTGTTGTTGTCCTCTATGTGTGTTGCACTGCTATTTCATACTAAAATATTTGTTTAAAATGTTTTTTTTTGCATGTTAGAGACGTCATCAACATGCCCTGTGAATTTCCCAGACGTTTACTTGCTGTATTCTCACATGGGCTCACATTTTTTGGACATCCCCTCAGNTCGCTGTTTGAAAGCAACATATGTGATTTGTCTCTTTTATGGTTTATACATACACTAACTCTTTCATTACTGTTTTGTTTTAGGAATATCTTGGTGGACAAACCTAACGATCAGTCTTCCAGGTGGTCTTCAGAGAGCAACTACCCTCCTCAAGTAGGTCCACTCCTACCCAGACACACTGTCTCATCTTAAAGCTTCAATATGTCTGATGTTGCTCCTCATAGAACACGCTTAAAGAACTCCTGTTCATGTACCAAGAGTTGTGCAGTAATAAGTGTCTGATACCTGATAGGATGACAGAACGCTTTATGAGATGCATACTTTATGAACTAGATGCTCTGTACATAGTTTGATAGGAATTAACAAGCCCAAATTCTGCAGGTGGGAAAAAGTAGCCAGCCAGGGTGCCCCCCAGAGAAACAATTTGGCCATCAAAACCCAAATTTGGTGGCTCTAGTATATTCTAATGCCACTAATCCTTCATAAACATACACACTATATTTCAGTTTTCTACATCATTGTAACCATGCAGTGAATAGTTTAAAAGGAGAATTAGAAAGTTAAGAAAGAACATTCACTTTGTTTCAAACAAATCTCTTTTCATGCTCCACAGTAATTAATATACTATGCTATCTCCAATATAAAAAATAACAGCATTATGAGCATTATCACTTGGATTGCTGTGGTTGTCGGTCTTATCAGTGTTACGCCTGGGCCACAGTGGCTGCGGTTCTGCTGCATGTTGCAGTTGTCCATTGTTCACTCTGGCCGCGGTTCAGCCGTGGAGGGTAAAACTACAGCCTTTCTGAGGTTTCTGATATGAATTCTGTATTTCCTAGTATAAAAGTACTCTTCTGTACTCATCTATACCAATACAATACAGTATGGAGCAGTGCATCTTCAACTCCTGCAAATATTTCACAATAAAGACCAAGGGTGCTCCGATTGGTCGTCCACCAATTGGTATTGTAACTACACATCGCTCGACGTAGATTGTAAGAATCTGTGTATCATTTGCTCTTTTCATATTCAATTAGAAAACCCAAATCGGAAAAATGAAAAACAAGTAATCTTTTCACAAGCGAAAACGACATGTGGACGGAGAACTGGAATGGGCTCTGATCGTACTGGCACGCTAGATGAGTTATCCTTGCTGGTACTCAAATACTCTAAATATCAAAATCAAGTTCGGCCCCTGGCCTGTTTTTTCATTTCCTATTTTGGGTCTGAGCAAAAAATCCTAACTACAAAAAACAAACAGTTATTTGTTTTTTATTATTTTGGTTTTCTTATTGAATATGAAGAAGAACGATTGATACACAGATTCGTAAGACCTGTGATTGGTCTGCTTGGACTGGCTGACATCTTTTAATTGAGTTGAAGGAACAAACAAGTTCTTTAAGTAAAAGTTCTACTTCTAAAAGTAATTGCTCTTCAACATTTATCAGCTCCAACTCTAACACAATCTGCGTAGTAACACTCACCATTGCTCTGAAGTAAACAGAGACACCAGAGAATCTGTATATAAGTGGACCAGAAACCAGAAGATACTCAACACCAGTATAGAAACTCTACTGCCACTAGCGTTTCAGCGGTGTATTTGCAGCCGACTCTCGCGCACAACTATAAATGCACAGTCCTATGCCTAGGCTACATGCGGACCTACGGCGTAGCTTCCACACTGAAGCATGAATTGGCCTTTAGGCTGGGCTTGTGGCTTGGATACCAGAAGCACAGTCAATTTCTGGATCATACACACAGCAATAATATCACCACAATCACCCCTTGGTTTCAGTCTATTTTATGTCTCCTCTCTCTCTGTCTCTCCCTCCAGTTTTTAATCTTGAAAATGGAAAGGCCGGCTATTGCTCAGAGCATCACCTTTGGAAAGTATGAAAAGACTCATGTCTGCAACCTGAAGAAGTTTAAAGTCTTTGGTGGGATGAGTGAAGAGAACATGACAGAACTTTTGTCCAGGTGAGCTCTTGCTGCTTATGAAAGAATAATCCAAACCTTTATTTTCAGAAATGACTGAATTTGGCATAACTTTCATGTGATGTAGCAATGTTATCTTTTGAGAGGAATTGGGATTGTTTTGAGGGTTCATTGGTGGTGGAGCTCAGGCTAGGTTGGATGAATCTGTTGTCTCAGACCATCAAGCCGTCGAAGGTGTTGAGACACTTTATGTTAAAGCTCTCAGAGACAAAATGTAAAGAGCTGATTTTACATGGAACAACATCACTGCCTTATGAACATGAAGAGAAAACATGATGGAGCCATTCTTCTTCTTCTGTTGGTACACTGGTGTATCATAAACAACTTTAATTCATACAACAATGATGTTGTGCTGCTGTGTCATGTGAAATAAGCTTAGCACAAGTTTATTTGAAGCTTTAAAGGTACAGTGTGATGAATTTTGTGATATCAATTGTTGAAATTGCATGTTGCAGCTGAATACCCTTTACCTCACCCTCCCCTTCCAAATGTGAAAAAGAACCTGTGGAATCCTTCAGTCATAAATACTCAAAAGAGCGAATGTAAAAACATGGCGGCCTCTGTAGAGAGGACCCCCCTTGATGTATTTATAAAGTATTTCAATATGAAGGGCCTTTTCTGGGGTAAAGAAAACTACAATTCATACAGTTAAGACAAACTAGTGAAAACATCATGAGGATTATTCTACATTAAATTTCTGCCAATAGATCTCTTTCACCTAAATCTTACACAATGGGCCTTTAATGTAAAAGGTTCACACACCTTTACAACTGTTGCTTCCTCAATGAGAGAGAGAGCAGCAGTTGTCGAGAGACCTGTAGCCTGAATTAAGAGAGCGAGCGCTCATATCAAACACAAGGAAGTGAAACAAAGAAAAAAAACAAATTTAATAATTGTTTTATCGTGGTGTTTATATAAAAAATTATAGTCATAATTAACATGCAACCCTAAACTATACCACAGCTAAGTATGACATGCAGAGAAAAGAAAAAAAAATCACAAAATTTGGTGATGTCTTCATTTGATAACGATGTCTGTGAAGTAAGTTTTCTCAAAGTATATCCCTTACCCAACTCATGGATGTTTTGCATCTCCTTTAAAAAAGTATGGTCGAAGCAGGTAATAGAAACTGCCTTTAGAATAAAGTTTCCAAGAAAAAGATCACTGAAATTTTCAGACATATCCATATCCCATTCATCTGTGCCCATCTGTGTTTCTATGACATGTCGGCAGTAAATGAAGATTTAACTTTGAAAATAGTTCCACTCAATGGATGTTTTACGGCATGTCCGTCCACAATATGCTCCTTCAAATCAGCCATTAAATCTTTAACATTTAGGCGCTGGCGTTCACACAGTGCCATTCCGCATTTGTAAGGGGTAAGTTGATGGTAACAGTCGTTCAGACAGAAGCGGTCCAGGCAGGAACAGATACATAATGCCTCCGGTAAAAATGAGCCTTAAAAGCTCCATAGTGACAAAATGTCTGCTTTTGTCACTATGGAGTACATAGTGACAAAAGCAGTACATAGCCCTTCAATGTGTGACGTGATTTGCCACAGGAACTACAACTTAGCATTTCCCACAACCTTGTGTAAAGGTAGCTAACAGTAGCTAGAGTTAAACACATGCCCTAACCAACGATTCAAAACAAAAGTGGACTCCGAAGATGCATCTCAATGCATTTGAATGTATAATATTCACATTTTTCTGTATTACTGCACGTGGCTATTTATTCATCAATTAATACAATCAGTCAGACAAACATGAAATGAAAATTTACAAAATAAGGTTTTCAATTCAAAAATTAGACTACAAGAGTGAGTCTATGACAGTGGTCAGTGCTCTCCACACTAATTTGACATTCATTCAGTTTAGACTTATGTGCTGCAGCTAAGGCTTAAAAGGACAAACTCTGATTATAGCCTTTACTGTATCAACATGGCCCCGCCTGGCCCCCCTTAGCATTGAGTTGCATTACTCCACTGGTCAACCAGTGACTTTGGTCCTCTGATGTTTCTTGATCATCACACTTAGAAGTGGCACTCAAACTGATAATCACATGTATTTAGCTATTAACCAATGACGTCTGATCATGACTTTAACCCGGATGTTCTGACTGTGTGTCACATTTAGTCTCCTGCTGTGTGAGGCAGGGGAATGCGTGTATGTTCAAAATGTCTCATCAACTTTAGAGCGACTCAAACAAACACAAACTAAACATCAGTCTTGTACGTGTCCTAATAACTTGCGATCCGTTATTTGTTTATTTGCTGAAGTGTTAAGTGAGCGCAGCTTAGAGGAGGAGGTAGACTCCGATAGAGACTCTGACACAGACCGGACCTGTCTGTCCTGATCCTAAAGCATCGATGGTTATAATTATGCAGCGACAGGACCGGATCGCTAAAACAATGTTAGTGAATAACTGTAACTTCAAGTGGAGTTATTATTTACTTTGATACTATGCGTTCTTCTGTAATTAGTTAATTAGCCTTATATTTTTGTAACTACTAATATGAAAAACTTTTATTGTGTAGTAGTGTGTGTAAATTAACTACTAATATCAGAACTAATATCAGATTATTTTCGCCTAATTTTGATGTGGGATTAAAACTATCTCTTTCATAGTTTATGAGCCTTATTCTTTTCCACTTAGTGGTTTTGCCCACTGGATTGTGGGTGATTGCCACAGTTGGATCATTCCTTAAAATGCTGGTGTCATCTCAATCTAATAATATAATTTGCGAAATTTTCTTTTTCTCTCCTCCTTCCTTTGCCAGTGGCCTTAAGAATGACTACAACAAAGAAACATTCACCTTAAAGTACAAGATTGATGAGCAGATGTTTCCCTGCAGATTTGTCAAAATAGGTGAGAGCTGATTCACTTTGTATCAGTGTGTGTGCTTTGTGTTACATGGGAAAATCTGTTTTTTACTTACTTTTTTGTTACTGTATTCTCTTTCTCTTTGTCTCAGTTCCTCTGATGTCCTGGGGTCCTAGTTTTAATTTTAGCATCTGGTACATTGAGCTGCATGGTATTGAAGATCCTGATGTGGTTCAACCCTGTCTTAACTGGTATAGCAAGGTAAGCACCTCATGGTTACTTGGAGTTTAAAAAAAAAAGAAAAAAAAAGGCAGGGTTGGACTTGATAACTAAATTATTTTTTTACACATTAATTGCTACTATGGCTGAAATGATTGACTTGAATAACTCAATCACTAAAACAACATATATTGCTGGAGAGAGCAGTTGAAGATGCTGGAAAGATCATTTTAAACACAATTATATTTATCAAGATATGAATCATAGTTCCCTGAATCAGTGTTTTTCTTCCTTGGTTGACATGGCTTTTATACATACACGTGTGCTGTTTTGTCTATTTACCCGTGTGCTTCTGTTCTCTATGTCTGTAAATGTTAAATGGTCTATATTTATATAGCACTTTACAGTGCAGTTTTTTGCCATTCACACACCACTTATCCACACCCACTCTGTTTCTTGGCGTCTTACATTACAATAGTGTACTCAGCAAGTTAATGCTAAGATATTGGAATTTGCAAACATCCCTAAAATAAGTGTTATGGTACATGTTGTGATGAAAACAATTGTCCTTAATCACAAATAAGACAATCCTTTATCAGTTTCACCATGGGGAAATTTTGCCTTGAATGGGACTTTTCAAGCACATGTGCCTGACAGTAGAAGTTTGTGTTTGTGGACTAATTTGAGCAGGTATCCATTTCCTCTCCATTGTGCTCTTGCAGTACAGAGAACAGGAAGCCATTCGTCTTTGCCTCAAGCACTTCAGGCAGCATAACTACACAGAGGCCTTTGAGTCGCTCCAGAAAAAAACTCGGATAGCACTAGAGCACCCCATGCTCACTCACTTACATGACCGACTGGTGCTACAAGGAGACTTTGATGCCTGTGAGGAACTCATTGACAAAGCTGTGAGAGGTACTGTACTTCGCCTGATGGAATGCAATTCAAACATTTAGGGTTACAGTAGAGCTTAAGGTTGCCTTTAGAATTTTCTTAAAGGTCTAGTGTGTAAGATTTAGGTGAAAGGGAACTAATGTACAATTATCCTCATGATGTTTTGACTAGTTAGTTTCATCTAAATTGTACGAATTGTAGTTTTCTTTACCCCAGAAAAGGCCCTTTGTATTTAAATACTTTATATTTACTTCGAGGGGGTCCTCTCTACGGAGGCTGCCTTCTTTTTTTACAGTAGTCCAGCCTGGACAAGCTAAACACCTTTGAGTGACAACTAAAGGCTACCACAGGTTATTTTTCATGTTTGGAAGGGGAGGGTGAGGTGAGGGTTGTTCAGCTGCAACATGCAATTTCAACACTAAATTTCACTAAATTCTACACACTTTACAAGTAATTACTGCCTTTCCAGGTTTCTGCTCACTTAAATTTTGTGGGGTTTTTTTTAAACTATATTTCATCTTCTCTCCTTAATAGATGGTTTATTTAATCAGTATATCAGCCAGCAGGAGTACAAGCCTAGGTGGAGTCAGATCATTCCAAAATGCAACAAAGGGACAAGTGTTCCAGAAATCAACCGAGATGACATGAGCGGTAAGTTCCACTATTCAAGTGGGAAGTTAATCCAATATGTCTGTTCAGTGTAAGCTCTGTGGCCTTGGCAAAACTAGTGCTGTTTTCCATTTTTTTTCTTTGTTGCCTCCATCCTGCCCTTCACTACTCCTATTGTTACGTACATCCTAAATTATCCTTTGTCAATTTTCCTCTACCTCTCCAATGCTCATACACCATCCTTCTCCTTCCTCTCATTGTAGGTGACGGTGATGACAACAGGCCAGGAATGAGGGGAGGACATCAAATGGTCATTGACGTTCAGACTGGTGAGACCCTTGCAGTCAGTGTTTGGACTCAGCGGTTCAACTTGTGCTATGACTCATATCAATCTTACAGAGATTCAGGACAGACAGTTCTAGTATGATTAAATCTAATTCACCTATCTCCTATCATCCATCATCACCTCTTCTCCACTTAAAGAAAACTGCCCTGAGGACATCTGTCTCCTAACAGGGAGTAAATCTGTAAAAGACCACCCCCTTTGAATGCGTGTGTGATGCACTGGTAGCACAACTGGTAGCACACACTGACTTCTTTTCTTTGATAAGCTGTAATTGAGAGTAGAAACTGATACAGTAGGTCTCAAATGTTTTTCTCCAGTCTTGTCCTGTCCAAATCCATTTTTGATTCTCACTTGTTTATTCCATTTTGATACTATGGAGCTTTTAGTCTCGATCATCTCTCAAAATCAGGCTTTAATGAGAAAATCTTAGGCTTCTATAAATCATTCCTATATATGTTATCTATGTAATGTCCACCAATTCATCCAAATCACCACAGGACTGCTGAAACATCTCCCAGTCAGTGCACTCATAACATTCCTGTAAATACTGCACAGATTCCTCACTCCAGTCTTTTATCCCCCTGGTCTGCATTTCTTCCCTCTTCAAAACAGTCTTGTAGATAAGCAGATGATGAGCACAGTTATGGTCTGCAGAGCCAAGAGGTGGAAGTGGAAAGAGATTTAAAAACATCTTAACTGACCCATAACAAAGGTCTAAGGTCTTATATAGGAGATATACTGATTAGTTCGGAGCTTCAGGCGAAATTTACTGCAGATTTTGCATGACATTAAAGATTGTGCTGGAGGCAGAGGCTGCATTTGCCTTCAGGTGAATGTACACAGTAGTGACAAAAAGTTGAGGAAACATGCGGGGCAGGTAAAAAGGCTGCAGCGACACAGATAAAAGTTCAACTGGAGTGCAGATGTACTCGCTGACAGTCACAGAGCTACAGTAGAGTTTGTTAATATACAAACATACCCCACCTCCTTGCGTTTTCCCTGTCACATCAGCCTTGCGATTGAGGCGAAAGGGAGACCAAAAACCATCAATGAGCAAGTCGATGTCGTGGTCTTGCTCGGTGAGCCACGTCTTGGTGTAGGCCATGATGCAGCAGTCCCTAAAATCCTTCTGGAAACAGACGTTTCCCTGGATTTCATCCACTTTATTCCTCAGGAACTGGATGTTCCCCATTATGACAGAAAGCAGTGCCCCTGGAAGATGATTCCACCTGAGAGGAGATTGATAGCTAAAGACTCTGGCTCTGCCAAAACTATGGCTTTATATGTTTAAGGAGTATGCTTGATAAGAACTCAGAGAATGCCCTTAAAAATTCAGAATAGACCCCAGGTGCATTATAAACCACAGGGAAGAGGAATGGCTGTTGTGTTTTCCTGGTGTTTCCTTAATTGTGGGCTTTGAATTAGCACTTTTGGCTGTGACTATCTGAAGGGGGCTATCAGCTATCAGGTTCAGGAATAAAATACTGGGATGGTAAAATACTTCAGCATAGCTGAGGCTGGCAGCGTTCTCAGAATGGACTGGACATGCCCTGTGGAACTGCGGTTCATCCACCTCTTGAGCACTTGTTTTTCCCTTGCAGAAACCGTGTACCTGTTTGGGGGCTGGGATGGCACACAAGACTTGGCTGACTTCTGGGCTTACAGTGTTCAAGAGAACCAGTGGGCTTGCATCTCCAGAGACACTGAGAAAGAGGTAGGAAGAAAGGCTTAGAAAGCATGTAATACACAGCTAGTTATAAAGAAATGACACTACTACACATCAGATATTTTTCATAACATCTATGTTAAATTTAAAAGTTGGAATATTGGTGTATTAAATGGATAGTTCACCAAAAAATGTTTATTCATTAATCATCTACTCTACTATGCCAATAGAGGGGTGGGTCGCATCCACAAAACACCTCTGGAGTTTCAGGGGTAAACTTGGTTGCAGCCGAATCCGATAGATTTAAATTAACAAGCGACTTATACAAGCCAAGCCCTTACATTCATATTCGACTCGAAACAGGGTTATTTACACCGTGTTTTAAGCCTAAACGTCCACTGGAAGTGGCTAAGCTAGCTGGCGTAGCCACATGATGGTGTGTCTGAGGGTCTTCGAACCCACCTCGTAGGAAGATATCTGAGGACATTTAGGCTTAAAACGTGGTATATATGAAGCTGTTTCAGGTTCGGCTGCAACAAAGTTTACCCCTCCATCAGTATAGTGGTGAGTAGATAATGAGTCCTGACATATTCACTCTGCTCCAGAGATTCTATGTTTTTATGTTTGTATTAAGCTTAAGAAACTCTGTGACATATTAAGTCTTAGCCACAATTTTCTTTACTTTCGGGCAGAGTGAAGCTGGACTTTATTTCATTTAAGGACAATTCAGAGACAAGTTTGTCTTTTGGTTTTCAGGATAGGAGGTAAAGTTGTGATGTTTACTTTTTAGGATGATTAATAGTCTTCATCAGTGCCTTAACTTGTAATTAGCATCATCACACAATACTACACTTTTCACGACTGTTTTTAATTGAGTGTGAAAAAGATTGAAAAAACTATGGATATTCTGTCTCTTGTTGATCAATCAGAATGGGCCAAGTGCCCGTTCCTGCCACAAGATGTGCGTAGACTCTCAGCGGCGTCAAATCTACACACTAGGCCGATACCTGGACTCCAGCGTCAGGAACAGCAAGTCTCTGAAGAGTGACTTTTACTGCTATGACATTGACGCAAACACCTGGACACTTCTCAGTGAGGACACATCTGCTGACGGAGGGCCAAAGTTGGTGTTTGACCACCAGGTAGATTAAATCTGTGATACATTTTTCTGTTGACTATTTAACAGATGTTTGTTATGTCTGCATGAGCAGCCATCTTTCAAGGCTATCAGTCTTTGCAAAGTGACCCGCAAACTTGGTGTGAAGATTTGGTTGTATGTTTCTGAAGTATTCAGAAACCTTTGTCAATACCATGGCTAATTTGACAGAATAAACTGACTAGTTAACATTTAAATAATGTTCATGGGTTACTATATTTGCTTAAAATAAACTAGAGTGGCATTTTCGACCTTTGTCACTGCTAACACTTGCAATGTCAAAGATAATGAAATTCTAAGATCCACTAAAAATAAATGGGTTCTAATATTCACTGAGCACACATCATTTTTAACAATATCAGAGCTTTCTCAAGGATTTGAAATAGCTGCGTGCGTGCGTGCTCGGAGCGAGTTGGAGTTTACACACACAGGCCCTGGGGCTCCGCCCCCACTCACTCGCAGTGAGATAAGATGAGAGGAGCGTTAACATGACGCCGGTAGTGACTTTGTTGAAGAACAGTGGAAACATCAGTAAAAATACAGTTTCCCTCTGGTCCACAGCTGCTCAATGATTTGAAGGTTGGTTTGTATCGAGCTGGAGTTTCTGTGTCCTCCTCCACACTGACCTGCTCTCACTTTAACTTAAAATAATTTATCAGTTATTAGGACCTGATCAGTACATGAGGTTTATTTAGCGTCTGTTTGAATCACTTCCTCTCCTCCTGTGATTTGAGCGTTGTTGTTCAGCAAGGTTTTCACAGTCACGGCCTGGACTTCAGCCTCTGTGGCTTGCACACAATACTATTTTTAATTTACCATTTTAAAATTATCTATTGTTGTCTCATGATCAACCTTTGGCCTACCTTTTTTATTTTAATTTGTTAAAATTGTACGAGTGCAGCTGCCTGGTTCAAAATAAAAAGTTTGCTAAATGTAACTTGATTGTGATTTTCCCCTTTTTGCATGCAAAAAATAGATAAAATGAGGGTCTACTTGAATCATACCGGTGAAATGAGTACATCAAAGTGTTACATTTTATTAATTTATATACTTAAAGATAACGCGATATTCGTTTTAGGCCATATCGCTGGTGTCTGTGGTCTGCTTGACCTACAGCTGTTACTTATTAAATAGTTGTAAAAATTATGTAAACTGAGCCTAGATGATCAGCAGTAAATAGTTAAATAGACAAAAATAAATGCAATGTTTGTGTCGGTATGCCCTTTACATTGCTGTTTTCGCTTTCTCTTGATCTCTTGATTCTCTGCTCTTCAGATGTGCATGGACTCGGAGAAACACATGATCTACACATTTGGTGGTCGGATTCTGACATGTAACGGCAGTGTGGAGGACAGCCGGACATCAGAACCTCAGTTCAGTGGCCTGTATGCTTACCATTGCCAGGCTGGAACATGGAACCTCCTGCGGGAAGACTCGTGTAACGCTGGGCCAGAAGATATCCAGTCCCGCATTGGACATTGCATGCTCTTCCACACTGTGAGTCCAGATTTTGTGCCTGGATGCATGTTTTGGCTATATATTTACTCCTGTTTGGATAATCCTGTCTGATGAATATAATTTTACAGTAAGCTTGAAACTCTCTTCTTTCCATAGAGAAACCGTTGTTTGTATGTGTTCGGAGGTCAGAGGTCAAAGACTTACCTCAATGATTTCTTTAGCTACGATGTGGACGGAGACCACGTAGAGATCATATCTGATGGCACCAAGAAGGACTCTGGCATGGGTAAGCTTGTGGGGTTTCCCCCAGTTATGGTTTTGTCAATCTTATATTGGTATATCTTTTATAAAACACCAACAATGGGACATTGTTTTACAGGAGCAAATTCACTTTCAAGAAAATAGTAACTCTGAAGCTTCGGTTCTTGTGACTTGGGCGACAAGTAAGCCTTTAGGAAAAGCAGCTGGTTAAACTGTACCTTTCAGCCATTTGCAAGTAATCAAATAACCTTTTTTCTTTTCTCTGCTGACTTTTTTTTGGGGTAGAATAAAAATGAAATGTCTTTAAAACTTAAGTACTGAGACATTGCCAGTTTTATGTTTCTAATAATGAGACACAAATGGAGATTGTATTTCTTCTTCACTGAATGTTAAATATTCATGTGGGCAGAGCATGCCACGGCAGCAAATAATTCCCAGTCTTGCAAAAGAGATCTAAATCTCTACAGATGCTAAAGTTAGCTCAATACTGCTGCTGCCTTGCTTTTATGGACCCTAACGTTACCTTGGTATGTCTGGTAGTTAGCTTGTGTTTATCCCTTTTGCCCACCATAGCAAATCAGAACTGTCTTGTGTGTTCATGAGGTGTATTTATAGGATAAGTGAGCATTTGAATTTTGCGTGACATAAAAGTCACTTGATCGAAAACAAGTTTATGTTCAACTCAATTAAGCTTTATTGGCAGGCATGACCATAATGTCGTACGACAAACTAATAAACAAAGTGACTAATAATATAAGAACGACAATGATATTAACGGGACAGTTCACCCAAAAGTAAAATTCACTCATTATCTACTAACCACTATGCAGATGGGGGGTGGGTGTAGTGTTTGAGTCCACAAAACACTTTTAGAGTTTCAGGGGTTAACAGCTTTGCAGCCAAATTGAACAATTGAAATAAATAGCCACCAATTCAACAGTTGCGATGGAAAAGGGGAGGGTGTGATACAGAGATCATAAGAGGAAGGAAATCCAGAAAGGCTCCAGTCTCCACAGCTCTGCCCATGTGGTTTTGCGTTTGGGCAGATCCCATTTTGTCCATGTGCCATAGGATCCTTGTTCAACTGCCCTTGTCATCTGCCTCTCCTCCTCATGGGCACGTACTTCTGCCTGGATCATGTCTCGCCTGTTCCTAACATTTGCAATTCCCCATTGCTGGAAGTGTGGAGAACCGAGTCCCTGCTGCCCAAAACAAGGGTGTGGCAGTCGACCATGCCACAGGGTTCCCACCACGACAGCCAGAGACGAACCAGTCCAACCATTGGGTGCTCAGCAACATCTTTTTATTAATACAAACAGAATTGACAAAACACTTAACTTAAAGGGTCCAGCACTTTCTGCTGGACCCTTTAGCTTCGCCCAGTCTCTTCCCCAGTGTGGGTCCCACGAGGCAGCTCTGCTGCTGCCTTTTCAAGCATGAGGATCAATCAGCTAACAGCTCTCACCTGTGCTGACTGATCCTCTGTGGTGCAGGTGAAGGTGCTCTCCCAGCCCCTTCACTTCCACAAAGGGTTACCTAATAAACAAGGGTTACCCTGTTTTGGACACCCGCTCCAGAGCACAAATCGCCTGTTCAACAGCTGCGTTGGCTCCACTTGCGCACAGCTAGGACATCAGGGTTACAGTGACCAGAACAATCCAGATTCATGATCCAACATCATTGTTTGTTGATTATTTGTGTGAAGGGCAACTGAGATGGGCATACAGTCACACACCTGCAGACAGAAGAGAAGCTCCCTATGACACATTGTTTTTTAACTTCCTTGTTGCAGAAGAAGCCCCTTTTATCCTCTATGAGCGGTTGATTATATAAAAGAATTGCGTAGCTTATTTATGATGGTCCCAAAACCTGAAGGAAAAATAAAGTGTGTACACACACACACACACACACACACACACACACACACACACACACACACACACACACACACACACACACACACACANACACACACACACACACACACACACAAAACTGACTCTGCTGCTCTCTCTTTCTCAGAGTCAGCTGATGTCTCTGAGTCTCAACGGTTTAAATGTTGATTGGTTTGAAATGACGCCACAATATTAACACTGATCCTCACATGATTGAACTCATTAAGAAAAGTATCGATCACTATACTTTTCTTAATGAGTTAAATCTTTGGAGATGGCGGCACGATCGTCATCTCAATATTCAAGAATGATAACGCATATTGCATTCAGTTTTCCTATTATGATGCAGCCCTTACATACATACATCTCATCATTGGGTTTCTGCTGTATGAGGTATTCACTTTGCAGCTCCTCACTTTGGCCATCTTCCTGATGTAGTTCTGGATTTTCATTGCCTCTTCCTGGATAGTGACTTTGAGGCTCACTAGTACTCTGCCTCCCTCCGTTCGCTGTGTACAGCCTCAGGGTGCTGGACTTGGGTGAAACCCTCCATGCATAGTGAGGAGCTTCCTTGTCTTGATATCAGTGGCCCCCATCTCCTCCTTTAGCCAGGTTATTACACCAGCTGGGTATCTGGTGACTGGCAGAGGATATGTGCAGATGGCTCGGACCTTGTGCTTTCCATTTAGATGACTTTTCAGGACTTGCCTTACTCTGTGTAGGTATTTGACTGTGTCTGACTTTTTTAGCCCCTTCATGGTTTCCATTTTCCTGTTGGATCCCAAGGTATTTATAGCTGTCCTAAAGATCTGTTATGTTGCCTTCTGGTAGTTCTGATCATCTTGCCTCTCTTTGATACTGATACCGGATGACATTCCGATGTCATCGTTTGGATTAGTGAGTCTTGCTCATTGCTGGCATACAGCTTGATGTCATCCATTTAGAGGAGGTAGCTTACACACCTCCGTTCACACAGGCAGCTCTCTGACACATAGGCACATCTAGAATTTTTCTAGAACTTAACAATATCACCAACGTCATTTTGACAATTTGCACACAATTTTGGTGAATAGAAGACATCTGGGAGCAGAATTAAATTGTCGATATGTGCAACTGGAAATATCATCATGATTAAGTTGTGGATGTATGTTATACATATAGAAAGTATTTTTCAAGAAGTTGCTTTTCAAATAAACTGCTGGATAGGGTAATATGTAGATTTTGACTCTTTATCTGATAAATAATCTATATCCTAATATTTGTTTCCTGTTAATTTTGTTTTTGGGTAGTTTTTCTTTAATCTTGTTGAGGGTTAACAGGATTTTACAACTTGATTAGCTCTATGAGACAAAGTGATTTGTCAATATGGGCTATACAAATTAAATTTGATTGATTGATAACGGAATTTTTTCTTATTTCCCCCCTGCTATTCTAATAGAAACCATTGTCATTTCCCATCACAGTTCAATCTCCCATTTCCTTTTTTTTTTTTTTTTGCAAAGTGCCAATGACAGGCTTTACCCAGAGAGCCACCATCGACCCTGACCTCAATGAGATCCATGTTCTCTCGGGCCTCAGTAAAGACAAGGACAAACGTGAGGAGAATGTTCGCAACTCCTTCTGGATCTATGACATCGCCCGCAACAACTGGTAGGAGACAGACTGAAACATTTAAAACACACATTTTTTAACAATAGGAGGGTTTCTGAAATGATCACATTAGGATTACAGAAAGACACTACACACTTGCATGGCATAATTGCAGGGGAGAAAGAGAGAAACTGTTCTGTAACTATCATATGTAAGTACAGTCAAACTGGTTGTTATAATTGAAAAGATAATAGTGATACTCAAAAATGTAATGATTTCATTAATGATAGCAGTACCAGTTCTAGTAGTAGTAGTAGTAGTAGTAGTAATCGTTGTGTCAGAGAGAGAGTGCACAAACTATGGGAGAGAGAAAATACAAATTTAGTTCCATGTAATGTCCTAAAAGTACATGGGGGCCAGTGGTGTTGTGCGTAATGAGGCTGCTGTACTAATAATCCTTCCCAAGTGCCAGATGTTGGGAAGGATACTGAACCCCCAAACTGCCCCTAATGGCTGTTCTGTCAATGATGTGATAGAAAATGTGTTATGTATAGAAGCAATTTATCACTGTGTGAATGGGGGAAACTACTTCTACTGTTTAGCTTTGAGTAGTCAGTAAGACTAGAAAATTGGCATATAAATGTAGTCCATTTACCATTGGATTAATTGGCAATTGTTGTTTATGCATAAAAAAGATCAGGTTTTCTCATAAATTTTCAGATTTCGTACATGTGTGCTTATGCGTCTGTGCGTGTGTTGTCGTCATTCCTCCTCAGGTCATGTGTGTATAAGAACGATCAGGCAGTGAAAGAAAACCAGAGCAAGGCTCTGCAGGAGGAGGAGCCGTGCCCACGCTTTGCACATCAACTTGTATATGATGAGATGCACAAGGTAACACTCAGCTCATTTGCACTTTTATTTACTGCTCTCCACATCATTTCACTAAGGCATGAAGGCAGCAGTGGGCCAACACTAAAAAATGAATGTCGCAGAAACCTTGCTCATAACACTTAAGACAAGCCTCAGTTCAGCTTTCTAAGATTTTTCATTCATGCTACAACAAGTTAACATCCCTCGTTATCAGCTGTTTATTGCACACCTGCCTTTGTTAAATGAGCTCCTCTTGTTTCTGGTATTGTCCTTTAGCACCCACAAGAGCTGATTGTGCAAGAAAAGCTATTCCTAATTAACACTAAGAATAAGATAATAAGAATAAACACAATGTAAACAAAACTAAACTAATATTCCTAATATTGTAGTATTGGCATGTTGGTTTAAAAAAAAAAAAAAAATCAGGTATCTTGATTAAGACGTCATCAAAAGAACTGAACTTGGAGTGCAGCAAATTCAAATGCAACAGAACCAAGTGACTCAACTAAGGCAAAATGCATCCTGAATTTGTCCACTGTGATCAGACCCATCCTATCTGCAAATATACAAGGATAATGTTTCTGCTTACCATGACGAAATTGTTTTTTTCTTCCCTGTCCAAGTATACAGATTTGTCCATTGTTATTGTGTTTGTGTGTCTGACAAGTATGGGTGCAGAAAAGTGTAAAATTCATTGTTAAACTGTAGCAGGTCAATTCAGTCAGCGATCCAACTATGTGGCCCAGGGACAAATTTATGTACACACAGGTAAAAAAAATGGCCACCCTTTAATGTGGTCTGAGTGATCATATCTCAAGAGACATTTTGCATATACATTTGGATACATTAGGATAAACACTTGTGATCAGATCAATCAGGACAGGATTTGAACAGGATCTTTAATACAAGAAATTGCATATGTAAAGTACTATTCAGTAGGTTATGTAAACAACCAAGCCAAATGCAAATTGTTGGATCTAATTTTTTATTTTAGTGTTTAGGATTAGTGGTCACTTTGTTGTTGTTGGGTTTGTGAGTTAAAAGGCTGATGAATAGATCATGGATTACTGTATATTTTATGCATATTTCCAGGTGCATTACCTGTTTGGTGGAAACCCTGGGAAGTCATGTTCTCCCAAAATGCGATTGGACGACTTCTGGTCCCTCAAACTGTGTCGGCCTTCTAAGGAGTATCTGCTCCGTCACTGCAGATACCTCATCAGGAAATACAGGTCTGCTGCTTTTCTAACTTGAGGAGCCACTTCATTTGTCTTGCATCTGATATTCTGTTAACAACATTAATGCTGTACTATCTAACAGATGGGATATTGTCTAGGGCTGTAACGATTATCACAACAAGACCAAAATCGTGGTCCAAGTGTCCACAGTATCTTGATTCCAGAAGGCAAAACTATGACACGGCCCCCTGCCCAACCCCACATGCTGCTGCAGGTGCAGCCTGTTGAGCTCACATTACGTTACACCCAAGACACACTGGCTGCAATTGTGCCGTGGAACCGCTGTGTGTTGCTATGTTTTTACATAGGGTTTGTCTTGAAATTGGCCGTGTGTGTGAGAGAGCATGAGTAGAAGGTGCACGGCTTAATACTGTATAGTACTGGTATTTATTTGAGTACCTAGGACTACTTTTAACAAGGAAATTGAATTCAATTTTATTTGTAAAGCATCAAATCATAATATACATCATCGCAAGCACTTTGGTGACTGTGGAGAGAAAGAACTCCCTCATTAACTCGAAGAAACCTCTAGCAGAACCAGACTCAATGTGGGCAGCCATCTGCCTCGATCGGTTGAGTTGAGCATGAAATAGGGAGGAAAAGATGGAGAGAGAGGAGAGAGAGACCAGGAACACTTGTGCACCATCGTCGACCACAATCTTACCTTTACGCCTCAGAGTCCTGGGATCCGTTGGTGATGGTTTGGGGGTCAGAGACATGTTTCCCATGCTTCACATGCTGCCTCCTGTCAGACAGGTAGTCTGGGATCCACCTGCAGGTGGAGTCAGACACACTCAGCTGGGAGAGCTTGTCCTGAAGCAGGGCAGGGATGATGGTATTGAATTGAAGTCCTCAAACACAATCCTAGTGTAGGTTCCTGGGGAGTCCAGGAGTATGGAGGACCAGAAATGACTTAAGTATAAATAAA